GTAGTTATTGCATGGTTGCATCCAAATCTTTTTTCTTTTCAGATTCGAAACTTTTAAAATGTGTGCAGCATTAATTTCCTACTCCTTACAGCTTTTAATATTGTTGGTTTTTTGAAATGACAATAAAATTTCAGTATTTTAACGAGTGCCTACTTTATTTAACTCATTAAAAGTAAGAAAAGCTCTCCTCCTATCATCGCCAAACCATAAACGAACAAAATAAAATAAAAAAACCCATAGAAAGTTCAAAACTAATGCTGCTAGTAGCAAAAACAGACGAACACCTAGAAGACGAAAGGCGACCACTTCGGGTAGAGCGGCGCGTGAGGGGAGGTAAAGTGGAGGGGGTATCCGGCACGCAACGCAACACCCGAGCTCCGACTCTCTTTCGCTAGAACGACTGTAGAGGCAGGCGGTGACGAGCGAGGGAGCCGAGTGAGCTCTCTAATCGCGCTGCAGGCATCTCGCCGTTTCCGCTACCGCCGCACCGGGATCCCGAAAAGGTATCCCGTAAAAGTGCGTACACGTCCGTCCCTGAGTCCTAACCTACCCCCCATGTCGGCCACTTTTATGCCCCCTGCCCCTGGCAGGTAGTGGGAGAGCTAGCCGCCTTGATAGAGCTGCTCTAGACCGAGGACGCCGTCAGGGAAGCTGTACGCGCCCGCCCCTACACACGCCTTGATCATGAACAACACACATTATTTAAGTTTGTCTCGCAATAGTTTAAACTTTCACCGCGCCAATCGTTTTTCGGGGTTGTGGTGTAGAGCGCGCTGCATGCAGCGCCCCGCGCCCTAAGCGTCTCCGTGGCTTCAGTTGGTCGTAAGCGAGTCAGGTTGAAGGAAGTGTATATGCGACGCTTGTTCTTTGAGATCTTTGTGCTGACAATTGCGAGATTGAGATGTCTGATTCCGACGAAGACATAATGCAGCTGTGTGTGGGGGATTCCACATATGAGTTTTTGGTGAGTAATATTTCTATTTTTCCGTCTTAAACAATGATAAGAGTCTGTGTGTTCGTTTCTTACCTCAACCTCACGGGCCATGACGACTCATTAATGTTATTATTTGAGATCTTTGAAGTCTTTTAGTGTGTGTGACACACGGGTGTCTTTTCCGTTGATGTGCTCTCGTTAAGGTCCTGTTGTTAATTTGCTTAATTTGTACAGAACAGTTTGTCATTCCCCTCGTTTCGCACGCAGCCTCCATTGCCGCGCGGCACGCTGAGCGCACCGAGCCGGCAGTTGTTTCGGATGCAGACTCTCTCCCATCCTGGCGTGCGCGCCCGGGTCGCCGCTCGGCTCGCCGCCCGACTCACAGCTGGGGGAACCGTCCATAAACGCTTCTTAATTTTACAGGAGTCAACGAAGGAGGAGGGGGTCAGCATGGAGGTCAGCATGGAGAAGGAGGAGGGGGAGCCGACCATGCCGCACGAGACGACACTGCGCAACAGCTGCAGGAGCCTGAGCTCCTCCACCAGCAGCTCAACCTCCACCAGCACACAGCCCTGCATGGAGGCGGGGGAGCCGACCACGCCGCCCGAGAAGCCGCCGCGCAGCAGTAGCAGCTGCAGCTGCAGCAGCTCAAGCTCCTCCACCAGCACACAGCCCTGCCTGGAGGAGGCCGAGCTGACCCAACCAGACACCAGCAGCTCGACGTCGCACCCCGGGTCACCGTCCAGCACCTGGCCGTCACCAGAGTTCTCAAACGGGCGGGCGGCCTCTACCCGCTGCCTGAGGTGTGCGAGAGAGAGCGATAGCACACGGGCGGTGCTGCGGTGCTGTGGCTTGGCGTGGCGGCAGCAGTCACCGGCCGGACATCCGAACAGTGCCGAAGTCACCTGTGCGGGGGTCCGGCCGGGTCGGCGCTGGCCGAAGCGTATGCTGAGCTACGCTCGCCACGCCAAAAAGTGCCGAACGGAGCGGGTGGAGCGACCGCCCGTCTCCGGGCTCGGTCCGGGTGGCCACCCGGCCCGTTGACGAAGAGACGGGCCGGGCGGAGCGCCCAGGCGACGAGCGCTCGGTGGCTGCCGGGCGGAGACCGCCCACCCGTTTGATAACTCTGGCCGTCACTGGTCGCTGGTGACGCCATGGAGGCGTGCGGCGCGAGCCCCAACATGCTGTGTTATTGTGGCCGGGGGGTGTCGTTATCAGGGGGTGGATGGTGGATCTGACAACGCAATGGACGTTACATCGAGGTCGTCGTCCTGCAATAGTTCAGTGATGCTGGACCTCGCCCTGGAGCTCTTCACCACCATGGAGGAGGAAGATGTAAGTGAGCATATGGGTCATAGCTGTGTATCTTTCGGCGGGAGGGGGAGAACACCTCCTCGAGGTGGCGCAGGGCCGGCATGGTGGGCAGCGCCAGGGTCGAGGCCCTAGAGCTGGTGGTGTACGGGCGGTGTAGATGTGGGCGGGGCGGGCGCTACAGCTCCTCGAGGTGCGTGTGTCTCATAACTTCCTGTTTGTTCCAGGACTGCCCTCTCGCCGCCGCCCTGAGGGCCGATGATGTCGTCGCAATTGCTCCGTTGGCAGGCAATGTAAGTCATCTTTCACATCCTTTTTCTTTGCCTTCCTTCTTTATGAAAGATTATTACTTTTTATTTCTTCAACAGTTGGAGCTCCCGTTTCTGTCTTTTGAGGCTGGGTTACCCCTCGATCTAAGTACCCCGATGGAGCAAGCAGCAGTCCAGGGATGTGCGCCACTACCGCCTCGCATGGGTGTCTTGGACCCGCCTGCAGGCCACAAAGCAACTGCTCCCCTGCACCATGGAAGGCCAAACGCCCCTGGTAAGGTGAATGACATCTACTTTCCCGTTAGAATGACTATGAGATATGGTTTGTTTTATAGTTGCTCTTTCTTTCCAGGCGATGAATCTTCAGATAATGAATCTTCAGATAATGATATCTAGTGTTATCTTA